AAATCACAATTATAAACTGTAGTCACATTTGAAAAAAAAAAAAATACATGTCTAATCAATGGAGTGCTTATAGAGAAAGTAAGGATTGAGTGGGAATAGCAGAGGGAGCTAACTGCCCCAGTATAGGTGGCGCAATACTATTGGTGGAGAGTAGTCACAGAAATGGCACAAAATTGATAGGGTATAGAGACTGGTGTGCTGATCACAAAATTGTTTTTAGTAATGCTTAAGAGGGTAGAAGAAGATTAAGATAGCTTTGTTGAGTGTAGGTAATACCATATCAGAATTAAGTAATTTATTGACCAATCCTTCATCTATGTCATTGACTTGTGACATTAATCCAGTTTAACTTAATTCCATTTATAACAACCCTCTGGTTTTTTTCATTCAGCCACTCTTCCATCCAATTAGCTAACTTATCCCCCACACCTGTAAACATAATTATTATTTACAAGTCTTTTATATGGCACCTTGTGAAATGCTTTCTGAAAATCCAGATACACCAAGTTTACACCCTTACTCTCATCTATTTAAGCAGCAACTTTTTAAAGAATGTCAAAAGATTTGTAAGGCAAAACTTTCCCTTATCCATGTTGACTATCCAATAAAATTCTAAACTTTTATAAGACTTTCCAAAACTTTCCCCACAACTTATATTAGATTAATATGCCTATAATTACTGGGACACTTTTTATCATCTCCCTTGATAAGAGGAGTAGCATTAGCCAACTTCCAACCCTCTGGCACCTGACCCACAATTCAAAAATTTACAAAAAATATAGTAGCAAGTGACTCATATAGCTAATCTTTAACCTCCTTCAAACCCCTGTGGAAATATTATATAGTCCAGGAGCCTTATTGTTCTTTAAACTTCCCAATTTTTTCTTAACAAGTTCAGAATTAATGTGATCCTCTTGTTTGAAATTGTTCAAGATGAGAAATATTGTTTAAACTTTATTTATAGAAACTGAAGAAAAATCTAAATTTAATAACCCAGTCATCTCATAACCATCACATATGAGTCTTCCTTTATCATCCCTCGGAGGTTCTACCCATATTCCAACATTTTGTTTACCTTTACTGTAAATTTTTAACCAACCTTTCTTCATACATCCTTTTTGATGTCCTAATTTCAACATTTGATCTTCTGTTATCTTCTAAATCTCCCATCATACCAGTCAATTTAAATTTCTTAAATTTGTGATGCTTTTCTTATATTTTATTCCTTATACCTTTTGTGAGCTAACCTGGTTTTTTACTTGCAGCCACCCTTTTATTTCTCTATAGAATATATTTATCTTGAATATTTAAACATTTTCCACATTTAATAAGTCTCCAAATAACTCAGCTGCCCAATTCACAACAGATAACACTGAGCAACAACAACAAAAATTGTCTCTGCTACCAGAAAAAATGCAACTTTTTCTGAATATCTTGACACTGCTGATTCTAAAAGTAATGTTGAGAATTACTGATCACCTCTAGTTTTAGTCATGATAGATTTATTCAAAATATTCTTATATATTATGATTGCCATGCATCAAATTCTTTCTGATTGAGTACTGAGTATTGAGTGGATGTGGCACTGGAAGAACATCCCAATGAGGTACTGGTTTTATTGCAGATGAAATATCTTGATATTTAATGTACTATTTAGTTTTGCCTGAATATCCAGAAACATTAGTCATGCAAAAATATCAGTCAGTTAGATGATCTTTGGCTCATGCCATATCATGGGAATTGCAAATGACATACTTGCTCTCTTCTTATTCATCCACTGAGTTAAGCCAGATATGCAAACTGTACAACACACGTGTAGAGCCCAATGTTTTTCTTGGTCACCAATTTTACACCCAAAATAGTAGAAGTAAGCTACTTTTAACTTGTGAGTGATGTTTTTCCTTCGTGAAACTGCAATATATTTTCCACAAATGTAGAAGAAACTGTTTGGGTGATCTTTGCACTTTCGGCCTTTACTTGAACTGGACAGCATTTCAAATGATTTTCTAAATAATATTAAATAACTCCTGTTTACAGAACTAGAGTTTAAGAGATTAAAAAAAACAAAGTTTTGCAGAATTTGATTATATTGTGGGTATGATGCGAGGAAGAAGATCAGGCTTTGTTTAGACTGTGCATGGAGCAAGGCAAAGTGACCAACTGAGTGAGAGGCAACTGAGAGAGAGGAATCTGACTCCACTATCTTTTTATGCTTGGTTAAAGGACTTGTACATGAGGGTTTTGTGGAACAGGTGAGTATGGGAAAGAAGTAAAAGTAGTGCAATTCCTTACAATGATACCGAGAACAAATAGCATGAACAATATATTCAGAATTTTACACCAATACAATACAGTCAATGTTTGAAGTATTCAAAAATGTCTTTTACCCATTAAACTGTCCGAGTAAACTTAATTTTATAGCATAAATCTATTATATTGCTTTGAGTGCATGGTATTTCACATAGTGCTAATAAAATATTGAGATATTACAATACCACAAAATTTAGAGGTGATGGACAAATTCCGACTACATTTTTGAAATCAGCGCCATCAAATTATCCCAACTCACCATCCCATCAAAATTTGATTTTTGAAATTTGTAACCAAAATATTATTCCTGACCTCCATATGAAGCAAAATACTGAACCTAATTGGGCAATGATCATTTGCACTCAGATGTTCTGCAACTTCCACCCTCAACAATTTCTATATTTGAAGTTAACAATAAATCTAAAATAGCATTGTTTCTAGTATGTTCCTTGACCAATTAGTAAAGAAAACCATCTTGAACAGTTTCCAAAAACCTTTCTCCCTCATGGTTTGACTCTAACATTTCCCAATCTATATGACTGAAATTAAAATAATGATTATGACCTCACTAACAGCCAAAGTCTGTAACGTTTCTCATTAACTTCATCAATATCATATGGTGGTCTGCAACAAATTCCCACTAAAAGCATTTTCCACTAATAGAAATCCAAGTGTACTCAATCTCCTTGATATTATATTTGATATTCTTAACTTCAACAGGATGTAACTCACATTTACATATATAAAGCCACTTCTTCCCCTCCCTCTCTTTAGTACTCTATCCCTATTAAATAATCTATAACCCCGTAATTCAAAGAAATGTCTGTCACCAAAATCGTCTACATTTAACCATGTTCCAATTATTCCCATTATATCAAAATCCTTCATTCCTACCAGCACTCTAGAGTAATCTATTTTATTTCTTATACTTCTAGCATTACAATAGTAAAAATTAAGCTTACCCTTAGAGCTACTTCTAGACTCATTTCCTATGCTAAACTTTTCTCTACATCAAATCTGAACCAATATTATGAGTAAGCTCCTACGTAGGCTGGTGCCACTCCTACTGACATCTAAGAAAAAAACATCCAGGAACCCGGGTAGGAGGGCCCTCAACTTTGCCCTCTTCTCCAAGAGTGGAGGAAGTCACTCTAACACTCTGAAGGAAAAACCTCTGTCCACCACCCCAGTGACTGGAAACTGGGTGTGGTAAGGACTCCCGAGCTCCATTAGTAGAATTTGTGGGCAAAGCGTGTTGGGGAGCCCTGAGGAACAGTGCAATAGGTGAACCAAGTTCTCTAAATTTTTAAAAGCAAACCAACCTCAAGTTAATCAATCCAAAGATCGGCAGGATGGGAAGGATCCTCTTATGCTTTACTCATGATAGTCCATGAGTGGTGGTCCAGCACAGAACAGTAATACCGCCTCGTCATGTCCTATGGAACACCTCATTTCTACAGATCCTGTTGCAACCTGTATAAAGTATATTGAATTAGTGGTTGCTACTGCAGAATTGGTTTGACAGAAGCACACCTATCTGGGCAACACTCACCACAGAGTAAGATCCTGTAAAAACAAGGTAAGAGACCCTGAAAGGTTGCAAAGAAAATACTCACCCCTCTGTATAATGTAACAGAAATGGTCAAGATAGCTACAGGGGGTAGGCAAAAACCGTCAGATGAAGAGACTGCCAGATCATGCAAATAATGTGTGTGAGATAAAAGTATTTGGGGAGATCCACATACCAGTTCACACAATGATCTCCAGCGGGCAATTCAACCAGGCCATTAAGGACAGAGAAATATGACAGATTTGATCAGATGTGACTTGCAGAAGATTCCTCACCTTCATAGAAAAACCAGAATATAAAGTCATTATCTAGCATCTCTAAAGGCACTAGTGCAGGCAACAAAACCTTCAAGACCCTCAATAAACATGACCAAGACTGAAATCTGATTAGACATAGAAGTGAGAAGTAGGGATCAGATGAATTGGTGAACAGGACTGAACTCTTTTCCTGTCTGACAAGATGTTGGGTAACAAGAACTGGTCTGAGGACTTATAGAGGAGGATAAAGCAGCCTGTGGACAAACAGCACAAATCACTCCAATCAGTGATGTCCATAGGTCAGCAGCCATGAAAAATAACCCTTCAGGTAAGGGGATACATGGCATACAATAGTCAGGTCAGAAACTGGTGTTGAGAAAGATGATGTACTTTAACTGTAATATACTTGTTAGATAACAGGAATGGTCATTTGGGACCAAGAGCCCATATCAATTTGAGGAATCTGGAGATTACTGGAGACAAAAGAAATATATAGTCACTATAATTGAATGGTAGTTGATAAGGCCATCCTAACCCTTTCGAGACAGGTCACGGTTATGTCATCTCATTTGTTGACTCGCATTCAAAATTTTATTGAACTACTATTTCATGAATTTATGTCAATAAGTTTGGTATCAAACTGTAGTTTATAATTCAAATTTTAGTACTATATATTACTCAATTTCTTAAATTAAAAGTAAATATTAAAGAAATACAGATAAACATCGATTTTTGTGTGTCACATGGTATGTTGAATGCAGCATTGGTTAAAATTAGATGTTTGTGAAGTCAAAATACTAAGTCTATAGTTTCGAACAAATTAGAAACTCAGATTACCAATATTGACAGGTTACAATATAAAATAAGAGCTTCTTATCTTTTTAATTTCCTAAGATATTGCTCATGTAATAAAGCAAACACAGTGGCACCCCACCCACCTCTGTCCATTTTTGGAAATGTTCCCTTATATACACTTACTTCATATATGACATGAATAACCAATTGGAAAG